CTTTCTTTCTTTCTTTCTTTCTTTCTTTCTTTCTTTCTTTCTTTCTTCTTGTCTTGCTTCTTTTTCCTGCTCTCTGCTTGTTTCTTTTTCCTGCTTGCTTATCCTGTTATGAAGAAATCTAGCGCCAACCTAGCGCCAGTCTAGCACTGCCTTGCTGTATCACCATAGTCTGCTGGGGGCCCGCTTCTAAACGAAGACTTAACAACACATCTCCAAACTTAAAGTTTACGTTTATATATCTATGTTTTTGAGTAGGCCTTTTTGAGCGCAGTCCATAATATATAGTAGCACACTGGCCTACAGGTGCTTCGATTTGGCTCGGAGCAAAAACAATTTTGCTATTGCAATAGGCCCCTTCATCGGCTCGTTGTTGCGTATTGTGTACATGTTGCTTTCGGCTCAAAGTACTTGATCTGCCCTTTCGTTCCTGGATACGTCGCGTTTGCGATTCTATCTTGCATTTCAAAAGACAAGATTCCAAGAATTGGCAACTATAAGCAAAACACAAAACAAGAAAAAGTCGTTTGTCTTGGAATGTGTCTGGGTTTGGGGTGTCCAAAACTCTGGAAACAATAGAACCAAATACAACTAAGCGCAGGAAAAAGGATAGGTCAACATCACAAAAGCAAGGCCTGACCTTCGAACGGCCTTGGTGGGTTGATGCCCAAGGCCCGAATATCATGTCGAATGGAAGCCCACCTTCGCACGGTCGAACCTTGACATTCCCTGCTGTTGAGGTGCCCCAAAGCTTTAATCCAACGAGGCAACTCTTGGTGTTGTGCAGCAGCGCCAAAGGTACCTCAAGGGGCGGAATGGGATCGAGGAATCTCATGCAGACTCATGCAGACTCACAGACATGGCGTGCAGGCGTGCAGGGCACCCTCACTCCTCCGTGCTTGTTCAGATGGTGAAGTCATCTGGTGGCATTGTGACATGATCCTTTAGTGTCTCCCGAGACCCGAATGTGATGTACCCGTGGACATGAAAAAGGTGATATGGTATGTCTGCAAATCTATTCCACTTCCTATCCACCAGTGTGGTATATAGGAGCCCAAATAAAGGGGTAGAAGCTAGGGTATTCAATTATCTATCTGTGTTTCGCGCTCAACCTCTTGGCCGCTCTTTCAGCCTCACCCCTCTCCACGTCAAGTCCAAGTTCAAGGCATGCCCACCCGACAAAAAACTGTATTGGGGGATGTCCCCACCCTCACAACAAGCACCAAGATCTCAGTGTTCTTGCGATCCTGGTGTTTGGAATTCTCCCATGAAAAAAATGAAAACGCATTAAAACACAACTCAAAAAATAACACTTTCGTTCTGTCCAACACTGTCCCGCTCTGGCACATGGCCCACATCGTGCAAGTACAACTCGCTCAGGTTCCCATGCCTCAGCACACGAACGCCATCACGAAGAGTCATCACGAAGAGGTCGAGAAAACATGAGGAACCACCACAAAATAGCTGGTGGTATTCACAAGCAACCCAAAAAAATCGTGGCCCTCCAATATTCTGGCAAGACTTTTTCTGCGCAGGACTTGACCTACTGATCCAACTTGGAAGAAGTTTCTGGTGTAGAAGTGACCAGTTCATCTTTTCAGGATCTACACCAGTGGCCCCAACTTCTCTGCTTCCAAGTCGCGTGTAGATGGATCCTTCATTCACCTGCGGGTCAAACAAAGGACAACGTGGGCTTTCTCCTGATTGGTCCAGAAAGTCTAAGTGTTTGGAGCCTGACCCTTCATGTGTGCCATACCCTTTTGATACAAAGCTGACTCAGAGGTTCAGATGAAGCGTATTCACGAAGGCAACACGATCACTGGGGAGAAGCCGCGGCCGGGCGAGAACACGATACAGATGTCTTGGGAGTGACTACTTGACGCTGAAGGTCAGTCCAGCCTGATCAAAACAGAAGAATCCAGAAGTGTCAAACATGCTTTGGTTGACACAACATGACACAACCACCCTTGGAAATTAGACCTGACCTGGAAGTAGATGCACAAACTCATGCCTTGTACATCTTGTCATCGACCGCGAACTATTTGGGGGGGGCACCCTCACGGAGAAGTTCTAGCTTCCCCACCCCAGCAAGGGGGATCTCCACCTATAAGGCGTAGACCTCTTTAGGCCCGATCCTCTTGCATGTGCTTCAACTTCATGCGCATGTTCGTTGGACATGACTCCTCTATCAGCGTTGAGGAGAGCCTGGGGCCCCATGACAAGGGGATGGGTCGTGACCAAGTCAGGTGAACGGTCCACCCTGTGCCGCGCGTTCGACCGGGGCGGTCGTGCCCAGGTCGGCCCCAATCGGCATTTCTCCGGCGAAAAACGGCGAAGCCAACCAAGGTTGAAAAATATCGAACTAGATTTACCGAGAACGGTAAGTTCTGGTATCGTATGTTATGGTCCCTGAAGCTGGACACACTGACAGCAAGCACGCATTCCTACTGGGAATGCCCGAAGCACCTCGCCAGCAGCGTGCACCAGAATCTCTTCTGCCCTCATCAGGAGGTGGGCTGCCTGGAAGCTATTGGAAGCGGGGACCAGAAGCTTTTCTCATGTTTGCACAGGAGAGTGGAGCGAACTGCGAACTGTCTAGAGACTTGTACTGAGTGAGTGGAAAGCTACAGTGGAACATAGCAACATAGGCCCCTGGAGACCACTTCCTTAACGGCTACGAGGGCAGCTTCCATGATTGTTGGAGGGAGGGTATCTTTGATGGGCAAGGGCATGGTTCATATCCAACGGATTCGGATGGATATGATGTTGTTTTGATCACCACCTGACCAAACGAATCTTCAAGTCTTGCCCTTTGCACCTTCGCAAGGTGCTTCACTCACCGTGAATCCACCGCTGCCGGAATACCGCGGGATCCACTGACTGCTTGCTGTTGGGATGGGGTCTCCACGGGGCCCCAGGTCCAAGGTCCAGTCCCGAACTGCAACTGAGGGACCGTCAGCCTATATGTTCGCCGCGTGTGAACCGAGATCTCCACGTCCATTTGGAGATGCATCCCGGCTTTTAGTGCCAGCTGCAGTTTTCTCATCTGCTACCAGCTTTCGTAAGTTTCACGAAGAGGACCAACAATCAGAATCAAAACGATCATACCCCACACTTGGTATACCACTTGCTCATTATATGTATACCACTTCTAGTTGAAGAGGTTTCAGAATCAAAACGATCATACCACCTCAAGTGTCAACCAACCATCACCAACCACCAACGTAGTGGAGGCATTCTGACGATCAGTCCTGTCGGATCGCCAAGCGCCTCCTTTGGATCCTCAAGGTCGGTGTTACCTCTCTTTGGCTACTTGAAGGCTAATCTGATCAGATATAGACTTAAAGTATCCTATAGACTCCCTGTATATATAGACTCCCTGTCATATATATCCTATATATAGACTCCCTGTCATAGATAGTCATCGATCCCCACGTAGCAAATGTAGACAGGAAAAGCGTGCAAGCCGGTCATCTATGATAGGGGACCACTATAAACCATCCTAAACCCAATCCTATCTCCCATCAACTAGGCACCGGTCCAGCCTCAACCAGGATGTCTCGATGTGGAAGACGATAGCGCTGACGATTGTGGCCAACTTGGAGGTGGACAGTGGACAACATGAAGATCAAAGAGGGGTTTGGTAACTTTTCTTGGAGTGCAAACAATCATAGAAAACCCCAAAACATGCAAAAACCATACAGTACAAAACAAAATGGAGCACATTGGCAAACCAACTCAAGCATCTCCTGTTCTGTTATCATCCAACCACCAAATCATCATTAAGGCACTTCTATCGTTTTGATCTTTTTGTACATGGGTCTTCTTGGGTATAGCATGGTATGGCAATGTTGCTGCCTCTTCCATGGAAACCTGCAAACTGCTCCAGAAAAAAGCGGGCAGTTTACTGCTTCGACCGCTTCGACCGTTGTCGAAATGGGCAACGAAAATACCGTCCAATGGAGCGACTGCCGTCCATCCCGGTCCTGTTCGTTGATATCGGTCCACCGGGTGTCGTTGTCTTTTTGTTGTACCAAAAAAAGGGGAAAAAGGCACCTGTGGAAAGTCCACAAGATCATACAAGTGTATGCATGCCGGCTGGATAGGAGCTTTGCGCAAAACGATCAGCTCTCAAGATTGCCGCCAAAGCACGTACCAGTTTGGAAACACCTCGAACTAGAACAGCTCGACCCAGGACTTTGGAAGGAGGACAGCCCTGGCATCAGCACGTCTGGATCGACAGATGAGTTCATTAAAAGAGATTTTAATTGATTTTGATGATTTATATAATGCTGAACAAAGGACCTTATAACACCAGAGAACTTTACTGGATCAAGGACTTGCTGTGTCTTGCCCGATCTCCGACGGTGTTCTTTTTTGGACCGGAGGCCCCTTCGCCTTGAAGAGATCCTCCACCTCTTGGATTGCTTCGTCTGCTTTGCCTCGTTTTCGTTGCTCGTCGAAGCATTCGGACCCGGAGACCAGATCAGGAAAAAGCCCACAAAATGAGGTCATCAGCCCACCTGATGAGAAAAACTTATATGTCTCCTACAGTCCTCCTCTATAGTGTCATATTATGTCCAATAGTGTCATCAGCCAACCTCAGGAGTTGACCCACAAGATAGACACTCGCACCGTCCACGGTGTGGGTCCACGACACCCACACGACACCCACAGCGACCTGACAGAGTCGACCACGGTGGTTCCACCGGGGGTGTCGACCAATCAAAAGGAAGCATCCCTAGGGCTCCAACCATATCCTCAGTTTCGGTGGTTAGACCTTGCTGGCACCCACCCCAACCATCTTCTCAGGAGGTGGTTGGAGCCCTAGGGCATATAACCTGCAGCCGAAGGTGCTCAAAAAGCTGTAGGCCATCACCATGTTGATGACGCACGAGATCTCAGTCAGCCAAATGCACCGTCGGATCGCTGTCGGTGCGATCGGTCTGATCGGTGCAACACACCCGTCATGGCACCTGGAGCCCCGAACTCACTCTTGGGGCTTTGAACACCTCCTGACCATCAGGCCAGATGTTGACCTCCCCGGCTTTGGTCGTCGATTCCGGTCTCGCTGGGAACGTCTCCCGCCAGTCGGTCTCGGTCTTGTGGAGCCATGACGTTCGCCGATGGGAATCCCCAGTTCGCCATATGCCATGGTGTCATCATCGTCCTCTTACTTTTGAGTCTTTTGGACCCAAAGAAGCCACGGAGTTGGTGGAAGCGAAGGTTCTGAACGGCACAGATCCGCCAAAAGGAGGCCGGTGATAGGGATCTCTTGGGGCCGGCCAAACACCTGACCATCAGGCCAGATGCAACACGGTGTTTTTTCCCAAAAGTGTCCCTGTCCCTCCATGGGCTTTTTGGAAGAAGAGCGCAAAAGCCCAACGTCCAAGGTGGGGTGGGTTCTCCCCCCCCCGTTCACCTCGTTAGGACCTAGTTCGATCCGCCCCTCCTTGAAGCATCCGTTGGCCCATCTGCTCAACGCCTGGCGGACTGGGCGCATGGTGGACAGGGCCACTCCCTCCATACCGCCGAAAACCAGGTGCTAAGATGCAGGAAGGCAGGAAGATGAAAGGCATCTCTTCCATGAAGCTGTCTTTGTCCGACTCTCTGGCCAAGGGAGACGAGGTCTTTCTTGTTCTTACTCGTTTTGACTTGTAGTTGCCGAATGACTCCGAATGACCAAAACACCAAATAAATCACCTATCTAGTACACTTTCCAAAAGGGAACCAAGCGAGTCACCGACCCAAGCTATCACCATCTTCATGACCTGAAGGGCACAGTGATGGCCGATGATCAGTACATGGTTCTCTTGCTAAAGAAAGACGGCTATAGACGAGGGAGATACTTTGGGTAGGTCCCATCATAGTTATAGTAGATGGATGTAGTTGGTTTTCTTGGGCGACCAGTTGTCGGGAATATCTGACCTATTCACATATGTTGCCAAACGATGACTTTGCCAAAGCACTGGACAAGTGAGCGACCTGCTTTCAATTGTAGAAGCAACTCCCAAGAGGCAAGGGCATCTATATAGAACCCACGAACCTCTAAACTTAGGATGTCGAAAGACACTTCTGGATGATGAGGGTGAGGATGAGAATGAGGATGAGGATGAGGAGGATGAGGATGAGGATGAGGATGAGGATGAGGATGAGGATGAGGATGATGAGGAGGATGAGGATGAGGATGATGAGGAGGATGAGGAGGATGAGGAGGATGAGGATGAGGAGGATGAGGAGGATGAGGAGGATGAGGAGGATGAGGAGGATGAGGAGGATGAGGAGGA